GTACTTAGGAAGTCTGAGGCAAACCTGGGCTACATGAGATGTCTCAACAACAGTAATAAAAGCAGCTAGAGTGTAGTTCAGTTGGAAAATGCTAGTCATAAAAACAGGAGGACCTGGGTTCAATCCCGAGCAGCCATATGAAATAATCCAGGCATGGTGGTACATGTTTCTGATCTCAGCGCTGGGGAGGCAGAGACAGCAGAAGCCTAGACATCATTGGTCAGTCAACCTAGCCTAATTGGTGAGCTCCAGGTTCATGAGAGACCCTGTCTCACAAAATATTGTAGATGACTCTTAAGGAACAACACCCAAGGTTGAACTCTGGCCTTCATTTGACACACACATACACAATCAATCAAACCTACTGCCTGCCTGACACTTGCCCCCTGACTTCAGATCATAGGATTTCATAGCTTGGATAACCCCGCACAGACCCTCCAGCTCCCCATGCTCACGGATGACACAGCTGAGTACACTGCCCTTTCTGCCCCCAGAGCCAGCCCCCAGTTGTAATGCAACAGTTCTCTCCCCTATCCCTTCCCATCTCCCACAGGTCATTGTTGACCTGCACTTAAGATCTTAGCTCCCAGTAATCCCCGTTCACCAAGCAACCAGAGCCAGGGTTGATGTTTTGTTTAGAATTTAATACTTGTATTTATTTATTTGTGTATGTGATGAGTGTGTATGTATATGGGCGTGCCTCAGCGTGTATATGTATAAATTAGAGGGCAACTTGTAGGAACCGGCTCTCTCCTTCCACCGTGTGCATTCCAGGGTTCGAACTCAGGCTTTCAGGCTTAGCAGCAAGCACCTTTACCCACTAAGCCATCTCACCTGCCCCAACTACACATTTTATTGTGGCTGAAATGTTAGCATACATGCCAGCCCTTTCTCACTATAATTTTTTTGGTTTTGTTTTTGAGAAATGGTGTCACAATGTAGACTAGGCTGGCCTCAAACTCACAAAGATCTGCCTGTCTCTGCCTCCCGAGTGCTGGGATTAAAGATGCGTGCCACCACACCTGGCACTTAGCTGGTCTTAGCTGGCAGTTCTTGCTGACCTGGAAATCTCTATGTATTCTAAGCCGGTCATGAACTTACCCCCTATGTCAGTGTCCCCAGTGTTAGGATCATAAGTGTGATCCTAACCACACCTGGCTCATGTCCTGTATGCTTTAACACACACATCACAATCAGACTGTGTCCCTCCCTGCTTCAAAGACCCATGACTTCTTGATCCATCAGTAACCCTGGGTCTCCTTTGGTGTTAACACAGCCTTTACCCACCTCAGGCACTTTGCAAGTGTTGTTTCCTTACTACAAAGGGTGTCACTCGCTGGGCAGTGATAGCACCTTTAATCACAGCGCTTGAAAGGCAGAGGCAGGTGGATCTCTGTGAGTTCGAGTCCAGTCTGGTCTACAGAGCCAGTTCCAGGACAGCTAGGACAGCTGTTACACAGAGAAACTCTGTCTCAAAAAGCAAGCAAACAAACAAAAAGCAAAGGTTGTGACTCATCTCAGGGTAGGTACCACTTCATTTCTAGTGGCATTTAGACGTCACCTCCCTGAGAATCCTCTCTTGACCTCTATTCCTCAGCGGTCCTCACCTCCACCCCCAGCTGCCATGTTTGGCCATGAGCTCCCCTCATCCTTCCTTTTAGTTTGCTCTTCTGTCTCTCTGTACAGGGCAGTCTTGGTGCAGACTGGTGGTACCCACCCACCTCCGCTGTTTTAATGTCTGCACTTAGTTGACATTCGGAGACTCTGTTGAATGAATGAAAGCTTGCCCGGCTAGCACAGGCAGGATGGAGGCAGGATTGAGACCCAGACCTGACGCCAACTGCTGCCCTTCTGTTCTTCTATACCATTCTGAGCATCAAAGCTGAAGTCAGCATCAGAGAACACACGTTGGTGGTGCCCAACATCAAACCCAGAGCTTCACATGCTCGGCAAGTGCTCTACCACCGAGCTCCCTTCCCAGCCTTCCCATGCTGCATCATCACACACAGGTCCCCGAGCCTCATGCAGATGTGGTGTCATGGGGCTATTACAGCTGGTGAGTCACATGGCGTGGGCCCAGGCAACAGATGTAAGTCTGGGAAAACCCTCCCACCCCGGGCTGAAACTGTGTCCATTTCACTCCCTTTTGATTTTCTCATGTTCTCTCAGAGCCAGGACCAGCTTGTGCTCCGCAAAGGGAAGTGGTCAGTGGTCGGTCAGGAGCACTGGGGACACGTGAACCCTTGGAGGCAGCCTTCTCCTCGCGCTGGGGGAGAGGGAAGAGAGCTCAAGTAGACCCATCCTTCAGGGACGGGGCTCACTTCTTCCTGGATATGCTCTATGAGCATCAGGAGAGAGGGCAGGACCATTACAGAGAGCTACTGAGACAGTAGCTGACTCTCAGGCAGGTTGGGGAAGAAGTGTGAAAGGGGGGCAAAGGGGAGCAGCAACTTTACTTGAGAACAGGTTGGAACGTCTAATCACAAAGTTCCCCAGCTTCCCTGTCATGCCCAGTCCACTAGCCTTTCTCTTTGGCCACGCCCCTGATCCCTGCTTATTTAACTCCCTAGCCACGCCCCCAAGGCCCAGCACCTAACCCAACTCCATGGCTTTTTGCAAACTGTGGCCTCTTCTCAGAGCAATGTTCTTGCTGTGCACAAAGTTACCTTGAAATGCAAGGTTGAATTATTGTTCTTTGTGAATATTAACTGTAAGTACGAAAAGCCCAGCACTCGGGAGGCAGAGGCAGGTGCTCTCTGAGAGTTTGAAGTTGGCCTGGTCTACACAGTAAGTTCCAGGACAGATGGGACTACATAGATCCTATCACAAGAAAACAAAAGCAAACAAAAGAATGAAAATCCAACTCATAGATACTCTTAACTACTATGATTTTGAAGTTATATTAAGATATTTACCTGTTGTGATTTTTATTTTTGTGGCTGTTGGCTTTTTGAAACAGGGTTTCTCTGTGTAGACATGGCTGTTCTAGAACCCACTCTGTAGTCCAGGCTGGCCTCCTGCCTCTGCTTCCTGAGCACTGGGATTAAAGGCGTGCGCCACCACTGCCTGACTCTGTTGTGATTTTTAAATGCTATAATGGTACTGGTGCCACAAAGGCGAATCTGCTTGGCTGCTTCCCACAAATGACTGGAAATAAAGACCATTACCCCACCTAAGCTCATGGGCTTCTTGAAATCCTTCTAACCGAACGGTGGCCTCACCTCTCTACCCAGCTGGAGTGAGAGTTCTACGGGGACTGAAGTCATTCTATGACTGTCACTGAGTATCTAAACAGGACCGGATGTCTGTCTGCTGTGTCTGTGGGATGTCCCAGGCAGGGATCACAATGGCATCAGAGGACAGTGCCTCTCTTTCTAATCTTCGACCTTCCTTGTTTCTTGCCTTACTGCTTTGACTGGGATTTTTTTTTTTCTTTTGTTTTTCTGAGACGGGATTTCTCTGTGTAACAGCCCTGGCTGTCCTGAAACTCACAGAGATCCACCTGCCTCTGCCTCCTTCCTATGTGCTGGAATTAAAGGTGTGTGTCACCATTGCCTGGCTTGACCTGGATCTTTTACAGTGTTTAATAGCAGCAACCTCCACAGGTGGTCAAGACCCAGTTACTAATTTATACGGTGTTCTAGCCTCATCTCTGCTTCTGTCACAAATGTCCATTATAGTGTGGACATCAAGGCGGGATCTTAAGTAGCCTCATGCTCACAGTCTAGAGTAGGGAGAAAACGACTCGTGAATCCTGCTTGCTTCATTGCTCTCCACTAGCTTTCTCCTCTCTCCTACAGCGCAGGAGCCCTGCCTAGGGAATGATGCCGCCCACAGTGGGCTGGACCTTCCCACACCAGTGAACAATTAAGAATCCCCTACAGACATGCTCACAGGCAACCGGATCTGGAAGTTTCCCTGAGACTCTCTCCCGGGTGTTCTAGATTGTGTCACGTTGAGAGGTAAAAGGAACCAGCCCATACAGCAGGGGCTCAGAGCCTGAGGATTAGGAGCTGAAGGCACCTCCTGTCGGTACTGTTTGTAACTCCCAGCAGGACCTATTGCTGAAGTCAGATCGCAGCTTTGAGGTAGTTCACTAGATGAGGGGGGAAGGGAGGCTAGCCCACAGCCTACACTACTTAAACTGAAACAGGTGTTGTAGATGGTCCGCTTAATTAGGCTGGACTGACACATTGGCTATTTGAAGCACTGGAACTGTAGAAGGCGTTTAGTCTCACACTCAGTAGCTTTGAAGGGCTGGGGCTCTGAAAAGGTTGGTGCAAGTCTTCTATTTGGGACCGCAGCGGGTTTGAACGAGCATGCTCAGAAACCCACCCATTTTACCCTGCCCCCAACCCAGAGAGCCCATGCTGTCATTCCTTCCCCAGCTACAACCTGGTCTGACTTCTTGGGGCCATAAAAATTTGGGGCACATAAAAATTTTCTCTTTAACCTTCTCTTGTGTCAATTGCCCCCGTGAACCCAGCTAACTAAGGAGTGCATCTCGTCCAGGAAGCCTAAAGGCTTTGGAGGAGGGCGGGAGGAGGTGGTCCTTGGGGAGGCCCACGTAGTCAGGGGAGCACCCAGTCACCTAGGAGCCTTGCAGAAGTGTCCCAGCCCTGTGCATACCCTGGGCCTTGGTCATTGGAGACCCGCTAAAGTTGGAGCCTCTCAACGCACTGGTGCCTCCATAGGGCCCGAGTTTGCAGCAAGTTAGAGTTAGCTGTGGAAACTCCCGCCACACCACACCCCCAAGGACATAGGACCGCCCCCTGGGCTCTGCAGAGCAGGGCTGTGCCTAAGTCTCTAGCCTGAAATGAGAACAGAGCTGAGCAGATTGCAGTCAGGTAATGAGGATGGGGCTTTGGGAGACAGGGGCGCTCCTCTTCCGTCCAGCCTCAGCCATATCTCGGACTGGGGGCGTGTCCTGCCCTGCACGCGGCTGCTGCAGGGCAGCAGACCGGCCTGGGGGCCTGGAGGGAGGAAGGAAGCCCTGGCCACCCTCCATCCTCGTGATTCACGTCTGTTCCTAGGCTGGACTTTTGTCCGTCTTGGCCGGGGCCTGGTTGGGGATGTTGGGAGAACCAGGCCAGGCCTGGCGGGCGCCGTGGGGTGACTGAGGTCCCGTGCTACTTCGTGGACTGTAACTTCCCACCCCGCTATCCCCCCAGGGGAATGGGGCATCGCAAGCACCTCCTCTCTTAGTGGGTGTTACCAGGAACCACACACACCCATCATTGTGTGACCGGTGGAGGAGGTAACAGTCCCCCTCCTACAGGTGGAGAGAGAGTCAGCGAAGAAGGCACAGCCAGCTTAGCCAGCACGGCCAGCAGGTGGGTGTAAAGCCCTAAACCCTGTTTTCCATTCCAGAGCCCCACAGCCGGGGAGACAGCAGGAGGGAGTGGGGTGGGGTAGTGCTGGTGTCCCAGAAGGAGACCCCCAGCAGTCAGCCTACTGGTGCATCCTAGCAGGAGGAATCCCAGTTCCGTGGCTTCTTCTGGAAACAATTTGAACTCCCTGGTGGGTGGGTTGGGGCCAGGGTATACTGTAAGACAGAGAGCAGCCCGCATTCCCTCCAAGTTCCACACCTTTACCTAGTGCCTATGCCCACTGAGTGCAGGGCTCTACACACCTTAGCAGTGGGACTGTGCCTCTCTGTGTCTTACTGTCCTTTTCTGCTCCCAGGGCATTCTGGGTGGCGCCTGCCTCCCAGGTCTGCTGAGATAACTGGGGGAGACTTAGCCCCCTCCCCATCTAGCACAGGGTCACCTGGGGGCTGTATTCCTCCACATCTTGCTTTACCCCTTGGAAAGTGTTTCTGCATCCTGGTCACTTTGCTTCAGGTTGGTGGGGACTCGCCGAGGTTTGCAGTGTTTCCTGACCACCCACCAGCAGCTTGAGGTTTCTTGAGTAAGGCAGCCAGCAACTTCTGCATCCAGGACTCCCCTGGCCGAAAGGCTGGTCAAGGCAGGGTTTGAAAATCTCTAGGCTGAGACTTACCCAATCCCAGAGCTTCCTTTGGCCCACAGCCCTCCCTTGGCCATGGTTTAGCAAGGAGGAAGCGTGGACCGCTTATGTCACCAGACTTCTTTTCCCAGCCACCCCAGTGTGTGGCTGGAGTCTTCGTCGCCCCATCCTAACTCCCACTCCATCTAGGCGAAGTACAAGTTCTGGCCTACACAGATGGTGAGTCTGGCCGCTATGATGCCCAAGTCCAGACCTCCAGCCATCGTGTCCCTGCGGTAACTCTTGTCCCCCCAGCTCTTCATCATTCTCACAAGCTAGGAGCCCTGGTAGATCCCCACCCCACCCCCACTTCCTGTAATTTATCTTAATTCACATCTCTTACCCATGCACCACTCTGTCCTCTTAAGTTCTCGCTGTCAAAGGACCCTCCTCTTGTCCCCACAATCTTCTTGAAATCCAGGAAGCCCCTGTGTCACTTCCTCAGGAGCCTGGCCCCTCCACCTGAAAGAGCCGAGCTTCTCATTTTGTGCTTTTCTACTGTCGCCCACCGGGAAGGCCGGGGAGTGTGGCCTCAGCACTCTGTGCTGCCCTTGTGGTGTTTGTGTATCCAGACTCCATCCTTCTGTGCTCCCTGGGCCCAGCACAACACCTCGCAGGGAGGAAAAGCACACAGGGCTCCGTAGCTTTGCAAACAGTGAGCACAGACTTGGTTCACACTCATTAGTCTGGTTGCTCAATGGCCTGCTTTCTCCATCTCTGCCCAGACCCTCGTGTGGCCTTCCTCCCCGCTCATGTGGCTTTCAGCTTCTCCTGTGCAGGATTTTGTGGTTGGTCACACCGTCCGCTGTGCTAGAACACTGCTGCCCATGGGTTTGCTAGGAAGTCCTGTGGGATAGTTTCTGAAGCAGAGTCTAGGACATAGCCATTTGGAAGGTGCTGGTCCCTGTTGCTAGATGTCTGTCTAGGTCGCATCTCTCCAGCCACGGCGAAGTTTCTCCATAGCCACTCAGGCATTGGGTTTTATCATTTTTATGTTTGGACTAGTTTATTGTGGAAGACATGAGAGTTTGAACTTCTCAGTCAGGGCTGGAGAGATGGCTCAGAGGTTAAGAGCACAGCCTGCTCTTCTAGAGGTCCTGAGTTCAATTCCCAGCAACCGCTTGGTGGCTCACAACCATCTCTAATAGGATATGATGCCCTTTTCTGTCATGCAGGTATACATCCAGAACACTCATACATATAAGTGAATAAATAAAAAAAAGAAACCCTCTGTCCTTGGCTGGCGAAGCCACGTATTTCTGTGTGTGAGTTAGTTCTGTTTTGAAAACAAAGGAATCTCAAGAGTTCTTTAACTTCTCCTTTTACCCACATGGAGGGAGGTTGTTGGTTTGTTTTTGTTTTTCAAAACAGGATTTCTCTGTGTAGCCCTGGCTGTCCTGGAAACCGCTCTGTAGAACACCCTGGCCTTGAACTCACAGAGATCCTCCTGTCTCTGCCTTCTGAGTGCTGGGATTAAAGATGTGTGCCACCATACCCAACTTTGTTTAACTACATTTAGAGTGTGTGTGTGTGTGTGTGTGTGTGTGTGTGTGTGTGTGTGAGTGAGTGTTTGCACAGTGTATACGCATGTAGAGGTCAGAGAACAATCTGCCAGCATTGATTTTTCTCCATCCACTCTGTGGGACAAACTCAGGTTGTCAGGTTTGGTGGCAAGGTCCTCTACCAGGTAAGCCATCTCTCTGGCCCTTCACCTGCAGTCGTGAGTTATCTCCTGTCTGTGTAGTAGCTGAACTCCACTGTGGCCAAAGCTGCTGAGGCCCCTGGCAGTCACTGGACTGAATGGAGGGCACAAGAGAAGAGAGAGGCTCAAGGGAGAGGGAGCTTTTGGAAGGGTTAAGTCTTTGAATATTTTTCTCAAACTGATGACATTTTCCTTCTGTAGCTAGAAAAATAACTCACGGGGCACTGAGACGATGGCTCGGTTGGTAAAGTGCCTGGCGTGCCAGCATGAAGACCTGATTTTAACCCTGGTTTTTACTTAAAAAGCCGTTGGTGATGCTAGCTGTACAGAATCCCAGTTCCGGGAGGTAGAGGCAGGGAGATGCAGGCTCATTAGCAGTCAGTCTCACTGAACTGCTTGGCTCCACATTCCGTGAGGGGACTTATCACAAAATAGTCACCTGGAGAGAGACTGAGAAAGATGCCTGGTGTTGGCCTGGCTCACATTTGGGAATATGTACAAACACACACAATGCAAGGTGTGTAGGGTTACCCATTGGGGTTCTGGGATTGGAAGGGGGTGGGACACACCCCTTGTGACCGCCAGCAGCCTTGCTGCATTCCCACAGTGGAGTACCTCCATCTAGAATGAGCCGTCACAGTGTGGTCCCCAGGAACTGTGAGTGTTCTCAGTTTGTAGCAGGGACTACACACACACACACACACACACACACACACACACACACACACACATTTGGTGGTTTTTTAAAAAAGCCCCATCTCTTATCTCATAGTTCTGTGGGTCAAAAGCCTAAAAGCAATTTCCATGGTCCAAACGGAGAGGCCCCCAAGCCTTCCTTCCAGAGGCTCCGGGTGGGTCTGAGGGTCCTTGCCAGTTTTTAAGGGTGCACATAGCATGCATTAGCATCCCTCCATAGTGGCAGCACCCGACATCTTCGGGCTTCTCTCTCTGTGGCTCTCACACCTCTGCTGCTAAGACAGACCCTTCTGGTGACGGCGTGTCACCTGGGCAGTCTCCTCTTGTACAATCTTGGATTTAATGGCTGTGCACACATAAAGTGACAAACTCCTGGGTTCCAGATGAAGAGGCCTGGGTGCTCAGGGGGGCTGTCAATCTACATACTACACCCTAAAAGATATAAGTACGGTTCTGAGAGAGGAGCATGTCACTCATGTTTGTGTGAGAAGAAAGTGAAGGGGTAGCATGCACACCCCCTTTGTGGGAAAAAGGTGAACTCCCAGAAGGCCACTTAGTTGCTGGTCAGAGCAGACACTTCTGGGAAGGAGGCGCAGGGTAGAGACTGACTCACCAGCATGTATCTTTCTCTATTGTTGAAAGTTTTACTATATGTCTCTGTCACCTATGTTAAAAATAATCTTAAAAATCACACATAGTCATTCCAGAACCAAAGAGAAAGAAAAGAGCTACCAATGCCCAAAGTTTTCCTTTAAAAGGTGGGCCAGGACCTGGAAAGATGGCTTAGGGGTAGCATGTGTGCTATTCTTGCAGAAGACCTGAGTTTGTTTCCCAGCACCTACGCTGAGCAGCTGACAATCACATGAAACTGCAGCTTCAGGGGAACTTCTGTCTGGCCTGTGAGGGCACTCGCGTTCACATACACAATCCTGCACACCGCACTACACACACACACACACACACACACACACACACACTTTAAAAATAAATCTTAAAAGAAAATTATTTGTTGGGGGATGCACCCCTTTAATTCTGTCCTAGGGAGGCAGAGGCAGGTAGATCTCTGAGAGTTCAAGGCCAGCCTGGTCTACATAGCTAGCTCCAGGCCAGCCAGAGCTACATGTTACAAGCTTGTCTCAGAATTTCTTTTCAAAATTTGTGTGTGTGCACATGTGTGGATGTGTGTGTGTGTGTGTGTGTGTGTCTCACAGCACATGTGTGGAGGCCAGAGGGAAACCTGTGAGAGTCTGTTCTTTCCCTTCCACCATGAACTCGAGTCGTTAGATATGGTGGCAAGTACTTTTACCTGCTGTGCCATCTCACCATCTTCTGATTTTTTTCTTTTTATTATTATTATTAAAAATTTTCCCCTCCTCCCCTCCTCACATTTACCTCCCCCTCCCCTCATTCCCCCTCCCTTCATTCCCCATCCCCCTCCCTCTGATTTTTTTTTCTTTTTTTTCAAAACAGGGTTTCTCTGTGTAACAGCCCTGGCTGTCGTGGAACTCACTCTGTAGACCAGGCTGGCCTTGAACTCATAGAGATTCACCTGCCTATGCTTCCAGAGTGCTGGGATTAAAGTCCAGCCTGATTTTCCTTTTTGAGACAGGACCTCATTATGCAGTCCAGGTTAGCCTTGAACTCATAATCCTGCCTCAGCCTCCTGAGTACCAGATTACAGATATACCACCATGCCAGGCTCAGCATACAAGGTGCTAAATCTCGCTGTTTTCCCTTAGTATGGTGTTCTCAGGGCTCGTTAACACTGTAGCAGATGTTAGTGTTTCCTTTTTGAAGGCTAGATAATATTCCGTTGTGTGGCTCTTTACCCATCCCTCCATTGGTGGACAGTGGTTTTTTCTATTCACTAGCCACGGTGACTACTGTATACATCTCACAGATGTCTGAGGGTGGATCCAAGGCTCAAACAGTTGTTCGTTAATATTTTGTTTGTCTTCCCAGATTGTACCCTTCCAACACATTTTGTGACCTTATTTTCAGGCGCCGTTTAAACTGTGAGGACAGATTGCAGAACGTACCCTTGGTGACAGCAGAGTGACACACCGGTTCTGTCATTGTTGGATCCTGAGACAAAAGGGAAAATGGCTTCCCATGACCAAAAGGTAAATGTCTGGAGGCTCCTGCTGTGAGAGGTGCACCCGTGGAAGTTTCTTGCAGGTCAGAGAGAACCCCCAGTGTAAGGGTTGCACCGTGCCTGCAGCCAGGACGGGAAAGCTGCTGCTAGGTTTCACAGGACCCGGAGGCAGGGGAGACACGGTCCACAATGCAAACTCTGATTTCTAGTTTAAGAACCATGACGTCAGAGCTTGGCTGGGTGTGGTGGGGCAAACCTACAATCCTAGAACAGGAGGGTCAGGGTCAAGAGTTCAAGGTCATCCTCGGCTAGAGGAGTTGGAGACCAGCCGGAACTGACTCAATGAAGCAAAGTCAGGATTCCTTGACGTCCAACTGCGAGAAAGCACAGCGCGGTCTCAGGCTTGGTGCTGTGGGTACTTGCAGTGAGTAATGGGCTTGGCAAAACTGCTGGGCTCTTCAGGAAGGTTCTTGGTCCCCAGCATGGAAGGCAGGGATCTGCTCCCTACAACGAGTGGGATGAGGTTGTCTTTGGTCTTTGGTTATAGTGGGAGACTGGTGACATGGTGGGGATGGTGGCAACACCGGCCCAGCTCGCGTTTCGGTTTGCGTGTGTGTTTTTGTACTAGTGACCGTCGGTTTGCGTGTGTGTTTTTGTACTAGTGACCGTCGGTTTGCACGTGTGTGTTTGTACTAGTGACCGTCGGTTTGCGTGTGTGTGTTTGTACTAGTGACCGTCGGTTTGTGTGTGTGTTTTTGTACTAGTGACCGTCAGTTTGCGTGTGTGTACCAGTGACTGTGAGCATTGATATAGGCAGAGGTGTGTCCCAGAGGGAGAAGCCACAGCTGAAACTAAAATAGGGGTCCAGGTGGGTCTGGGGATCAGAATGAAGCTGGACAGTTGCAGGGATAAATTGTGAGGTGCTGAAAGCTTGTCACCAGCCTGTACCAGGGTGTGGGCCAGCAGGGGAAGTGGGTCCTGGAATGCAGAACCCAGCTAGGACACACTTTGGGGAACTGGAGCCGGGTGAGGCATACTCTCACCACAGAGGGGCTATCTCCATTGTTGACTGGCTGGCCAGGATCCCTTGTGGCAGGCGGCATGCTCCTGCCATGGCTGAGTCGGCCTGGTACACCATGCTTTGCCAAGAGTTTGCCTTTATGGCCTTGAACTTGTCCAGCATGCCTAGACTTTTCTTTTTTTTTAAAATTATACTTATGTATTTATATATTAGTGTGTCTGTGTGTTCGTATGTGTACCGTGCCGTGGTATATTTGTGGCTGCCCAAGGACAACTTAGGGAAGTTCATTCTCCCTTTTGAACAAATGGGTCCTGGGGATCAAACTCTGGTCATCAGGCTTGGTGGCAGGTACTTTACCTGCTGAACCATGTTGCTGGCTCCTGGCCCTCCTAGGTTTTGAGAACACAGGCCTTGGTGGTGGTGAGTGTGCAACACCGCACAGACCTGACTGGGGTCACCAGTTCTGCCGAGATGGGCGTGGGCATACTTCCTTAGAATCCCTTTCTCCTTTTTCCTTTCCCTGCTCCTCAGTTTCCCATTCTGGGGAATGGGAGCAATAACATTAGCCCACAGAAATACAGTGAGACTTATACCTAACAGTGGTCTGTGGCATTAGCAGGATGCCTGGGGACAACTGCCACTTATGTCACAGGCTGCCAACTCCATGATGGGACAAGCAAGGGTTGTGGTACATGTTCTGGTCTTATTCCACAGTTCAAATAATGCACGTGCCTGGCCCATCTGCAGGACTTGGCAGCCAGGTGTACAGAGCCAGGGGTGGGGTGCCCCGTTGGCTCACTTCCTCTGGAGGTGCTGAGCTTGGCTGTGGCTGTCAGCCTCGCTGCACTTACAAGGTGCTTGGGAGCTCTGAGTGTGACGGTTGTGTGCCAGGTAATCCTGGGGTGCGGCTCAGCCATGGAGGCTTATCTGCTCTGCATGAGGCCCTGGGGTTCCGTCGCAGCTCGGCAGGAACGTTTCCTGGCCATTCTAACATGCAGCTGGCCCTCTCTGTGAGTGGCCAGTGGCACTGGTGGGGACACAGCTTTGAGAGCTCCCTTCCCTGTCTGGAAGCTCCACTCAGGTAAAGTCAGACCCTTGACCAAGACATAGAGAAAAATTTCAGGACAAGCCAGACTGAGACAAAGGTAGTGAGTTCATTAAGTATTTAGACAGACAGACAGACAGATGGAAGAAGAACAGACACAGCCTTAAGGCATGGGTTTCAGCTTCTTTTTCTTGGGGGGGGGTATTCTCGAGACAGGCTTTCTCCATATAATAGCCTTGGCTTCCCTGGGACGCATTCTGTAAACCAGGCTGGTCTCAAACTCAACAGAGATCTACCTGCCTCTGCCTCTGCCGCCCGAGTGCTGGGATTAGAGGTGTGCAGCACCACCACCCCGCGGGTGTCAGCTTCTTGTGAGAGGTGCACTTAGGTGTGTTTGATGGCTACATGTTAAAAAAGTGGGTTGCACTCTTTAGGCTGAGGGGGTGAGCAGGTGCTAATCCAGGAGGCTCAAGGTCACACACGTCCCAGCCCTAAGTGAGCACAATGCACTTGTCCTTGACATTCATGGTTGAGGTGTCTTCGGAGCAACACACACTGTCCCTGGAGGTCACCTCTGCTCTGTCAGCTGTGTTGAGGTTTTCCTCAGGTAGCTGGAGACACAAACTGGATGACAGAGAAAGTGGCTTCTTTCCCGTTGCATGTCTCCTCCATGTTCCTTGGCTCATTCCAGAAGGGAGCAGCAAGGAGGAGCCTGAGGCCTTCCCTCTGTGGACTCCATGGCTGGAGCATCATTCTCACACTAGTAACCAGGTGATAGCACACAGCTTCTAGATGGGAAATTTGCCCTTCCTCTGCTTTTATGAAGCAGCCCGGCTTGTGATACCGGACGATGTGGCGTGGCTGGTGTCACAGGCTTTGCATCCGTCTCTCATTCCCTGAACATCATCATGTCTGTCCTCTAGGGAAAGAGCAGGACACTTCCCGCCTGTTGGGGCAGGGTGGCCGCCAGCCCTTTAGAAGTGGAGTGGAAAGGCGGACAGTAGAGGGATCCACCTAGGGTAGCGTGTCAGAGTGTGCCAGGGATGAGGCATGACTATCTGTCTGGAGAACTTCTGTCCCAGGCCCCCACCAGCATTGGCTTCAGCAGCCCTGGGCTACATCTTGAGTGGGAAATAGGAGGTGAGGGCAACTCCTACGGGCACCGTGGATTACAGTCCAGTTCCGTGTTTCCTAGCTATGTGACTTTTAGCAAGTCTCTTATCCTCTGTCTTTGTTTTTAGCATCGGTAAATGAGGCCAATCTGGAGCCATGTGGTTCTAGGCAACTCTGAATTGAGGTCCTGAGTTAGTGACTGTTCTAGGGCTGGGGAGGATGCACCATCGTCCCATTCTTGTGTGAAAGCCATTGTGCCACACAGCCTCCAAGCGCGTCCCTGACCTTCCAGGTGAAGGTGAGTTGAGCATGGCTCTCAACAAACCTGGGTCACCAGTCCTCCACACCTGAGTCAGTCAGCCACAGAGGGGTTGTTTTTGCAAACCTCAAACTTCCTCCCCACCCTTGAGAAGGAAAGACTTCAACGCCTATTTACAGACTTCCCTGATTTTATAAATAGGCATTCCTCAGAACACACACGGAGCCAGGGTGGGGGCGGGGCAGGTGGGCTCACTGCGCGCTGCCGCTCACGGGGAGACACTTCCAGTGGAAGGTATGGTGTGTGTAGGAACCTGTGCAGCCTGCACCCTGGGGTGTTCAGTTGGGCATGAGGGTGACAGAGGAGGTGCAGGAGTGTGTGATAAGGACAGGCTGGCCAGCACCCCTGAGCTGGGATACTTGGAAGGAACCTAAAAGAGGGGAGAAAAGCTAGATGACAGCACGAGAGAGGTTGCGTATTCCAGGCCCGAGGAAGCCGCGTGTGCAAAGGCCCTAGGCCAGACAAACCTGCCTAGTACAAAGGCTGACTGGAGTGAATGGAGGCAGTGTGGCTAAGCAGGGAGAGGCAGCTGAGACCAGGTATGTGGGCAGAGCTGCAGGGGGAGGGGAGCTGTTCTTTACCTTTTAGAGTAAGGGGAAACCAAAGACATTTTAAGCAAAGGACTATGGGAAGGTCACAAACACCGTCTTGTGTTCAGTGCCTTGCTGGCAAGGCTGCAAGAAAGCAGACATGAACCCCAGGTGAAGCCAGCCAAGGGGAAGGCATTGGGCTGAGACCGCAGGAAGCTGGCCACACGCAACAGACTTTCCTCCCCGGGGTTACAGAGGGCACGCTGCTTCCTCTAGCAATGAGCTGTGACAGGAGACAGGGTGTTCAGGACCGGAGAAGCCCGTTAGACACCAGACCACACCCACAGGGGTTTTAGTTTTATGAGACAGGCTCTTGTTTTGAATTTTCAATCCCCCTGCCTCAGCCTCCTGAGCTCAAGAATCCCAGGTGTGCACCAGAAGGCTCAGTCCTATGAAGAGGTGATCCCTTGGGGACTCCCCTGGCTAAAGGGACAGCAGGAGGTCAGGGTAAAGGAGACTGCTTTCTATAGGAGGGAGGGGCAGGATGCCATGTCCCTTAGGGAGCAAAGTTCTGAGATGCCAGAAGGCAGAAAGGCAGGCAGGCTCTCTGAGGACAGCAACTGCCAGCCACCTAAGCTTTCTCTATTCTGTACAGATGGAAGCAGGTTCTGGAGCCCTCAGGCTGCAGGTGGGAAGATGGGGGTGGAGCTGGGGAGTCAGCTCTGAGTTCAAATCCCCAGAAACCATCACAAATAATGTTGGGTGGGCCTCCACATATATGTGCATGTGCCCTCACACACATGCAAGAATGAAGGATGGGTGTGGGGCTTGCTGTGTGAGCATAAGAACCTGAGTGCCAGCCCAGAATCCTTGCAGAAAGTTGGGCATTGTTGGTACATGCTGTAATCTCAGGGCTAGGACGAAGGGGACTCACTGGCCTAGCCTGTGTACTCTAAGTTCAATGAGAAAGCCTATTGGGGCAGGGAGGGAACAGTGCCTA